GGGGGGGGGGGGGGGGGGGGGGGGGGGGGGGGGGGGGGGGGGAGGCGGCTCTAGGTGAGGGAAGAGCTGCGGCCCCTGTCCCCACCCTGGCTTAGCAACCAGATGTGCTGGGTGGCCCTCGGCAAGGGCTCTGCCTCCTTGCTGAACCCGTGACCCTGGAGGTGATCAGGGCCCAGCCTGGCTGAGCCCACAGCCCAGGTGATCAGGGACCTCAGCCCCCTATGTCCCCACCCTGAGGATTCCGGGGGTCTGAAAATGCCATCCACCCAGGACTCCAGTGCGTGCCGCATCCTTCTAGCACAGCTTTGTTCTTTTGGTCTGAATCTAACTTCAGATGGGTGGGGGCACAGTCCCCCACTCCCAGCCGAACCCAACCAGCCCTGATTCCTCCTGCCTGGCAATGCAGGTTAGCTGGGCCCCCAAGACACCTCAAATCAACAGACAAAAAAAATCAATAGACAGCTTCAAGATGAACCTCCCTCCCAGAGGGCTCCTCCTTGGAGCTACTGTACAGACCACTGCCCCTCCTCCTCCTCCAGGAAGGAGGGGAAGGAAGAGCAGAACTCTGCAGTGGGGTCTCCAGGCCCCCAACCTCTCTTCAGATGGAGGAGGGGGGAAGACCGGGTGCCTGAGAGGGGAGTTCCCATGTCTGCCAAGGGTGGAGATGCTGGTGGCAGGCCCAGAGTTGGCAGGGGGACAGGCTGACAGGCCACTTCCTCTGGTCAGTTCCAAGTCCCAGGCTTGTCTGCCTTTGGGGCCCACAGAGCAGGGGGAAAGGGGGAGATAGAGGCCTAGTCTTTAGGGCAGAGGAGACACATCAAAAGGATAGGGACGGGGGAAGACACTGCAGGCATTGAGTAGGGCACTTCTCTTAAGGCCCCTTGACTCTTGTGGCTGCATCATCTTCCCCCCTCCGCCTCCAGGCCCCAAAAGGAAGAGGCTGATCTGTCTGGGTCACTGCTGTCCCTGCAGCTGGCACAAACCAGCACACAGGGGCACTCAGGAATTTGTGGAACTGCAGCCACTTGGGTTCCGAAGAGTTAAGCACTTAGCCCATGGTCACACAGTGCATCCTGCCCTACAGAAGTGGGGAAAGGGGCCCCTCGTCTGGGTCGGAGCAGGGCCCCTGGAGTCACACCCTTCCCTTTGTGGACTGACACCTGCCCCCTTCTTGCTCCTTCTCAAAGGTCAGCCTCTAATGGATTTCTACCCAGGCCCAAGTTGGGAGGGTACCAGTGCGAGCACTCGCAGGGCCCAGCACAAATCTTTGAAAACCCAAGTGACCCCGGGGGTGGAGGGGGACGAAGCTCTCAGCCCCTCTCCAAAATGCTGGGTCACCCCTGCCCTCCACCTCACCCTCTCCCACAAACACAACACGATGGCTTAGAGCAGCTACTCTCGCTGGCGCCGGCCTCAGTGGCTGTAGGGAAACAGCTCTGAGCCCTGGGTCTGTCCACCCCTCCCCAACCCTTACGGAGGGCAGGAGCGCAGCCCCCCTTTTGAGCCGCAGCAGGCGCCAGAGCATTTCCTGGTTGGGGAGGGTGGTGGTGCGGGTGGCTGCCGCTCCAGACCGTGAGCTGTGGGGGCGGGGAGAAGATGGGGCTCCCCAACTCTAGGCCTTGAAGGGTTAATCCAGGGTTGGGGGGTGGGGGGTAGGGGTAGGGCCCACCCTCCCGGTCGGGTGACCTGAGCTGGACCCCCCCAAGTCAATCAACCACCCCCAGAGGCGCCAGCCTGGCCTGCGTTGCCATAACAACAGGCTGGGCGCGCTCGCGTTTCCTGGAGACGCCGAGGTTGGCCCCCAGCCGGGAGGCTCTGACTGAGCCCCCTCAGGGGGCGGAGGGCGGGAGGAGGGAGCCCCGACTGCGAGGGAGAGGCGGCAGGACGCCCCTTCACCCCACCCCCAGTAAGTGCGGAGGTGGGGCAGAACGTGTAGCTGGCTTCAGTCTGCTGACACAGGGACCCTGTCACCCCAGGGACGGGGCGCCACCCCCCTCCCTTGACGCGCCCTGCTGCCATGGTAACCAGCAGCGCGCCCCAGGAAGCGCGCTCATTCCGCTGGGAGACCGCGCTCTCCCCTCCCCGGAGGCGCCAGGCTCGGGGCGGGGACGAAGGCAGGCGCGGAGAGGGAAGGGCTGCGCAGCCCGGGAGGGGAAACAGAGCTCAAGGGGCCCAGGAGAGGCAAAGGGAGGAGCTGGGGACTACATTGGGGAGAGAGAGCTGGGCCCACGCGGAGTCACGCACGCACACAGCTACACACACTTCTGTTACCCCAGTTCTGGCGGGACCACAACATGAATAGTGGGACCTGATGGGGGTGAACAGCAGCGACCTCGGCTCCCATAAATGCGCATACAGCGTGCATGGGGCGTCTTCAGGGATATGAAGCCCCAGCCTTCTCGGGCTGCACCCTGGCCCTGCAGAGGCCTGCACGCCTCCACAGGGGGGCCTCTCTGTTGGCGAGGCCGTGCGTGGTGTGGGACCCAGACTAACCGCAGAGGGCGGGGAACAGCCAGGCCCTGAGGGGCACAGCAGAGCAGAGGGCGCAGCAGAGCAGAGGGCTCAGGATGTGAAGGCGCCCACTGCAGGAAGAGTGGTTGCAAGGGAGGGGGGAGGGCAGGGGGAACCTCTCTCAGGGGCCAGGTGGCCAATCCCCACGGGCCAGGGTGAAGAAGTTAAAGGCAGGGGGCTGCCATCTCCCCATGACAACAAGGTGCCGCCCGCCCCCTCACGTTACCCACCCACCTCTCGGTACAGGCCTCTGACTCCCACTCAACTTGTATGAAACTGAGGCCAAAGACGTGAAGTCAGCAGCCCCAGTCGCAGAGCAAGGTTGGGAGATCTGCCTAGTGCTCGGCCTCTCCTGCTCCAGGGTGCACAGGCAGTTAGCCGTCCCCCAGCACCCCTGCCTGGGCCCCCACCCCAGAAGGCTTGGAAAGGCTGGGGTGGGAGGGGACAAGCAGTGGTGGCCACCCGTCCGGCCCTGCATACACGGAGCTAGGGAGGCAGGAGCTGTGGTACTGTCTACCTGGTTCCACATAGGGTTCACGTGAGGGGGAGCAAAGGAGGAGCTGGCCTCGGGAGGGTGTGGGGCTCATGGGGACCGTCAGGAGTTGGGTGCAGTGGGGGGCAGAGGGACCCCACAGAAGCCATGATCTCAGGTCAAACCCCACAGCCTGGCCCACTAGCCCACCTGAGCCAGCTTCCGGCCATGCAGCCCCCCAAGGCCACAGGACCCTGCCCACACCCGTGAGCCCTGGTCCCAGCCCCTGGGGCGGGGACTCACGTAGTCCTGGAAGGCCTTGGCTTCACTCGAGTGCTCGCACGCCTCTCTGCGGTCGGGCGCTGCACAGTACAAGTCCCAGAACACGCTGTGGGCGGCAGGGGGGGACGATGGTTTCCCCACGCGCCCCCCCCAGCCCCACCCATGTCCCACCCACACCAGCCTTGCGCGCACCACCACCAGGAATGCAGGAAGCCCGGGGGCTCCCCCAGCGTAATGTTCTTCTCCCATCGGATCTGCAGGGGAGAGGGAAGGAAGGTGAGGGCTAACGGCCTGGCCCTGTCTGACCCCTTCCCCTCCCAAGAGGCAGCCCCAACCCAAGCCCGGGGCCCAGGAAACACCGGGTCAGGAAACCAGCAGATCAGAGCAAGGGAGCCAGGAGGGGGACAGCTTGGTGAGGACAGGGACAGAGGGGCGGGAGGCAGATCCTCAGATGGATGGGCAGATACCAGGATGCCAGCCCTGCCGCTCCGCAGCCCTCAGTTCCCAGGGCACAACCCAACCCCACCACGGAGACCTGATAAAAATGGGTTAGGGAGGACCCCAGGATGTGGGTGCCAAGGAAGGGGCTGGCTGTGGGGGCCCTGCCTGGCCAGGCCAGCTTACCTCGGACAGAAAGGTCTGGGCTGACTTCTGGGCACCAACGTGCAGCAGGTACTCATACACGTACAGCGCCAACCTGCAGGCGGGAGGGGTGGGGGCCGGCTCAGGCTCTCAGGAGGTCCAGGCAGACCCAAAGCTCTGCCCCGAGGGTCCCTGGGAGGGGTTTTAAGGTGCGGCACCTGCCCTCTGGTGGGAAGGTGGAGAGGGGCAGGGGCCCACAGTGAGCCCCTCATTGTACCTACCACCTACTGCCAGCCTCACTCACTTCCCTCTGCTGGTCTCCCCCTCGCCCCACCTCCCCCACCCCTGAGAAGACATGGCCTCCTCACCAGTTGCTCAGCCTGGCCAACTCCTACACATCCATCAACACACAGCCTGCAGGCCCCTCCTCTAGGCTGCACTCCTAGCAGTCCCCAGCCCCCCACCTCCAGGCCAAATTCTCAGTTCAACACCCCCCTGATGGACCAAGTCCTGGCCCCATCCTGCCAATGCTGAGACCTTATAGCAGCCTTGGCCCCAGGGAGTTCCTCTCCTTGGAGAAATGGCTCCTGGGCTTCACTCTAGTTTGTGCTCTGGGTGGGGTCTCCCGGCAGGCACCCCGGGCCATGTGGCCAGGGCCCAGGGCCTAACTCACTCCCAGCCTCACCTGCCAAGGAAGAAAAGGGGCTCTCTGACCTGAGGTCTTCCTCCTCCGGGTTTCCCTAGACCCCATCCTTTCCCTCAGGATCAGTTCCCATCTGCCAGTGGTGGCTATGACACATCCACACCAGCCCCCCAAGGGGGAGTCTGGGGAAATGGGAGGTAGGGCCAGCAGTGCCACTCAGCTGCCACAGCACCGCCCTGTCCAAATGCCCACATTGCCCAGTACCCCTACACACACCAATCGGCCACTGCCCACCCCAAGAGCACAGGCCACGCTCCAACCAGCAACACCATCCATTGGCCTCCACCACACCCCAATCTGTCTTCCACACCCGCCAGCGGAGGGACAATTCCCCACCCGCTAGGGTCACCCATTCCCCAGCCCCCACTCTACCAGTACCGGCCCCTCCGGGCACCTCCAGGGTCTTCCTACTACCCAGCCAGGCTCCAGGTGGACCGAGGGGAGTCTGGATCTAAGACCGGGGGCTCCCCAAGGGCCAGCCTGAGGCTGCTCCGGTGAAAGCTGTAGGCCCTTCCAGATGCCTCCCCGCTCAGCTGGCCTCCCTCCCCTGGCTGATGGCCCCATCCTGAAATAACCTTGCTTTGACTCATGCTCCTGCTTTCTCTCACCCTTCCCAGCCAGGCTGCTCAATCCTCACATCCCAGCCCCCTCTGCAGAGCACCCCCGCCCCCAGTTCCAGCTCAGACCTCACCAAGGCAGTTCTAGCCCTTCTGTCCCAGGCCCCACCCCACGGCTTCTGCCCTTGCCCTGGACCCTCTTTTCCTTCCTTCATCCATCCATCCGTCCTTTCAGTCATTCATTCAACAAACATTCACCTCCTTGAGCAGTGAACACAACAGACCCCTGTCTCCCTGGAGGCTACCTGCTCACGGGGAGAGACGGAGGAGCAAAAATACAAAGGAGGAGGTAAGTCATCTGGTGGGGTGGAAGGTAGTGTGTGCTACAGAAGTACAAGGGGGGACATTAGGGAGTCCGGGTGGGCAGCTGAACCAGGGCAAGGTATGTCCACAGCTCACATTACACCACGCGAGCTGTGACAGCCACCGGAGGGACAGAAACAGGTCACAGAGGGGTAGGATTTGTGGGGCTCACATAGTTCTGAGCATGGGTCTCCCCCAAGACTGGCCAAGGTTCCTGCCTCATCATCACACCCCTCTCAGCAGCGCCTCCAGCCCGGGCGCCCCCAGGTTCCAACATCGCACCCTGGCAGCATCCACCCTTCTCCAGCCCAGTGGTCTTCCTCACCCCCCAGCCTCCAGGCTCACCTGTCCAACTCACTCCTGGGACCCCCCTCCCTTTCTAGAGGTTTCCTGAGCCTTCACGAGTGGACTGCATCTACCAGGCCTGAGTCCATCAGTGAAGAAATGAACATGGGGCCGGAGGAGACCTGAGCAGCCCCAGCCTGCTCACCAACCGACCCTCCAGGCAAATAGAGAGGTTTGAAGAGATCCAGCTGGCCCCCTGCCACCTTGGGGAACGAACGGTGCAGGGAATGAGGTACCCAGAGACAGGGAGCAAGACAGAGTGGGGGGATCCAAGTAGGCTGCCCAGAAGGGAAGTGCAGCAGGGCAGGGGAGCACATGGGGGGCTGCAGTCTGGCCCCACCCCCACCAAGAGCAGAAGCCTCTCCTCAGGGTTCAGGGAGCTTCCTGAAGAACATGCTGGCTCCCACTAAGGCCACCAAGGGCTCTATGCTGCCAGCCCATCGGGTCCCTCTCCATCACCTCTCACCCTCCACTGGCCAGGGGTGGCATCGGACCCAGGATGCAGGTCCTGGAGCCCACCACTGCCCGCTCCCCTCCCTCCTCCGGCCCTGCCCCAGCTCTCCTCTCTTCTCCCTGGGTGGCCTCCCCTCCTGCTTTGATGTTGATGACTGACGTGGTGCAGCTGCCCACAGGGTTCCTCCAGCCTGGCCTCCCCTGTGAACTCAGGGTCTGCCGTCCACTTGACATCTTAAAGGCCCAGCCCCACCCCAGCTTCTTCCCCTCCTGTTCCCTGACCCGGGTGGTCTTGACTCACATAGGTGTGGCGCAAGTGTGAAGATCCACCTAGCTGTCCCCCAGAGATCACTACATTTATTGAATTTAGGGGAAAAACTTAAGGAAAAAGCACTCTCTCTCCTGATTCTGAGCCTTCTCCCTGCCTTCCTCAGCACACACTTGGTCCAGGCCACCACTATCACTTACCTGGATCTCAACAGGGCCCCTCTAGGGGCTGCTTCCTCCCCTCCCCACCAGCACTCCTCACTCAGACCCTTCAGTGCCTCCCACACACGTTGGCCACTCTCTACCTCTCCACCCCAGGGCCTTTGCACAGGCCATTTCCCTGCCTGAGACACTTCTGCTAGAGACCCTCATGGCTCCAAAGTCACGGGGCAGAGGCTTCCCTATCACTTCTAACAGCAGCCCTGCTCCATTCTCCACCTGCCCCCCATCATATTTATCTCCATTTGACACAAGGCCCTCTGCTTACTGCCTGCAGCCCCCACTGGATGTAGCTTTGGGAGGGCGGGACCTCGTCTCACTCCTGAGCTTACACAGCGCTGGGCATCCTGGGCCCCCAGCCACCCCAATGAATGAACCAACCAACCCTGAGCCCCCTCGCTCCCGGGATGTCCAGTAGGCACTTATGAAGGTCAGCACTTACTTACTATTCTGATGTTAAGAATTTGGGGTTTTATCCCAAGAGCAAAGAGAAGCCAGAGAAGGTTTTCAGTTTTGCTTGACTTCTCTTATATGCTGGTACTTTAATTTTTATCAAGTCTCAGAGAACCGTGAGCAGCTTTCTTTGTTTGTTTTCAGTGAAAACTTTTGAAGCCTGGACATCTGGTCAGGTTGCTTCGGGACCTCCAGGGCCCGCCACTCAGGGAGGGCTTATGGCTTGCAGGTCGCTGTCTAGGCCCTGAGATGGGTTGTGGGAAAGGGCCTGGGCTCTGGATCCAAATCCTGGCCCCACCCCAGCCCTGGTCAGCAAATGACCTGCAGAATGAAGAGCCCACCCATCAGAGGGGCTCCCGACGCAAGAGGGCAGGAGATGGGAGGGAGTGTGGGGTGCACCGGGGGCCCTCCCTCCAGAAGGAACGGTGACCTGGAGGATACAGGGTGCCCGGACCTGGAGTGCTCATGGGGAGAAGCTGCAGCTGCACAGGGAAGTGGTGACAGAATGGGGTACTGGAGCCTCCCGGACTAAAACGCAGCAGTACTACCTTCATCATCAAGAATTACCATAATAACCAAGAATTAAGGTAAGAGGTGCTCCCTGCCAGGCTCCCCCTCCCCTTTAAAGCCCCTGGAGGCACATACTGCTGGGGGCTGGAAGAAGCCCTCTCTACTCAAGGCCTTGTGTCACCCCCTCACCCCCATCTAATCCATCACCAGGTCCCACCAACGCCCCTAAGGGACTCTCCAGCCTACACATTTCCTCCCTCCCCTCTGCTACCCTCATGGCCAGGCCTTCAGCGCTTAAGAGCCAGGGTGGTGGCCACCCTCCTCACTGGCCTCCTGGCAGCCTCCACATTTGCCCCTTACAGCCTTTCTCCTACCCAGCAGTCAAAGTAACCGCCCCCACTAACAAATTCCATCCCAGCATTTGTCCCCCAGATACTGCCTCAAGACCTTCCCAGAAAGCTCCCCTGTGTCCACGGGCTCTGCTCAGCCTCCAGGACTCAGTTTGGGGGCTCCTTTCTCAAGAACCTCTTACCCATGCACCCCCCTCCAACAAGGATGCCCACGGGCATGGGCACCTGGAAGCCCAGCTAGGGATGGGACAGACACATGGTGAGTCCCTTGCCTGCTGGGATAATGAACAAACTACCTGAGGTGATGTGCCCATATCAGAACTAACCCTGGGGACTTCCCTGGTGGTCCAGTGATAGAGAATACGCCTTCCAATGCAGGGGACGCGGGTTCCGTCCTTGGTCAGGGAACTAAGATCCCACATGCTGCTGGGCAACTAGGCATGTGTGCCACAACTACTGAGCTCACGCGCCTCAACGAGAGCCCGCGTGCTGCAACCTACAGAGCCCACACGCCCTGGAGCCCACGCGCCACAATTACAGAGAGAAAACCCGCTGCCACAACTAAAGAGAAGCCCGCATGCCGCAACAAAATAATCTGCATGCCTCAACGAAGATCCCGTGTGCCACAACTAAGACCCGACGCAGTCAAAAATAAATAAGTACTAAATAAATCTTAAAAAAAACAAAAACAAAACTAATCCTGGGAGAAAAACACAAGACACCCAGTGACACTGACAGTGACCATCACTTACGGAACTATTCTAAACCCACGTGGCAGCACTTAAAGTGTTCAAGGATGTACACACACGATGCAAACATTTAGATCTCTCCCCTCAACTTAGGACAGCACAGCCTCTGGGGCTGGAAGGGGGAAGGGATGCAAAGGGGACACAGGGGCCTTCAACTGTCCCTGTCACCTTCATCTTATTTAAAGAGACCTGAAACCAGTGACCGAATGCAAGCGCTAGTTAGTTCTGGGTAGGAAGTGATCTCGGGGTTTCCCTGTAGGTTGGAGTGTTCATCACTCACACAAGGAGAGGCTGTGTCTTCCTGCAGGCAGCCCACTCAGACCCCAGCCTCCCTCTCGCCCACCCTGCCATCCCTTCCTTGTATTCCCTGGACCCAGAAGTCACCACGGTTTGCTGTGAGCCCCCAAGAGCAGGGACCCACCATCTGTGCACCAAGCAGGCACTAAGTCCATTTCTGGGACAGGCTAGCCCAGACCTAGTGCTGAGATGGGGAGCCAGAGGGGGCTCAGGACAGGGGCCCAAGAAGGAAAAAGAGGAAGGGCAGGAGGAGTCAGGAGGGTGAGATCAGGGAGGAAAAAACAGTCCTGGAGAGTCGAGCAGTGGAACCCCCTTCACCCCATTTCACGGAGGAGGAAACCAAGTCCCAGAGACAGGAAGTGGCATGATTGGTGAATGCCTGTGAGGGGTGCTCTATCTGCAGCCTCGCCCCCAGTCCTCGTGAGAATCCTGCAAGGCCGGCTGTCCGTGTTTCAGAGGGGAAACTGAGGCTCAGAGCAACCAGCCTGCCTCTCTAGTGTATCAGCCCCAAGCATCTGAGAGCTCTCCTGTGCCCCAGAACCTGAGTCTTCAGCAGGGTCCTTCCTCTCCAGGGCCTGGCATCCCCGTCAGTGAAGTGGATGCCACCATCTGGTGTTTTCCAAACTTTCTTTAGCGGCAGAACCTCGTCTCCAAGCCAACACTGCTACAGGACCCTCTCGACAAGAAATGGATGAGTGCAGGATGGCTCTGGCCAAGAGGTCAGCTAACCCCCTCTTCTATCCCTAGCCAAGAGCCGAGGCCCGGTTCAAAGAGTCAAAATCTCTCCTGGACTGTCTAGTGGGATTGAAGCGCACTCCAAACACCATGACCCCAGCTCAAACCTATTTCCTCCCTTCGCTTATCTCCACAGCCACCCCCTAAGCTGCCACCATTAGCTCTCTCCCAGATAACTGTGCCTGCCTCCCCCAGGTCTCCTGGCCCTCTACCCTCACGCGACCCCCAGTAAGCCCCACTCCACAAAGGAGCTGGAGTGTACTTTGGAACACAAGCCTCTCTGGCCCACACAGCACATCCCCACCCTGGGCACCAGCCCCAGCTCTTTGGCCTGGCCTCGCCCTAGGGCCTTTGCACTTGCTGTGCCCTCAGCCATCGGTTCTTCCTCCAGGTCTCTGCACACCTGACACACCTCCTCACAGTTCACTACCGCCCACTTTCCCATTTTGCTTTTCTCAGAGCATAGCTCCAGATCCTTCCATCGGCTTGCTGAGTAACTCACTTGCCTCCTAGCTAGGATGTGGGCTTCTTCAGGACCAGGGCCTGGCTTCCCAACCACTACACCCCAAGACCCAGCCCAGCACATGTCTGAACAAGTGAACGATTCCCACTGGGGGAGTGGTAGCCCCCAGAGCCCAGAAGCCAGGGTACAAGGATGGCTGGAGATGTGCCAAGATCCCCAGGAGTGGGGTGGCTACACCCCCCTGCTTCCAACCTGGGCAGGAGCCAGGTGCCAGTTTCAAAAAGTCTTCCTGCTTAATGGTGCTTGGAAATGGACCCCAACCTCATAACTGTGCAGACAAGAGAGGTCTGGAAGGGCAATCATCTGTCTAGCATCTCCTGGCCAGAAGAATCTCTTCTCCAAAATGACCCCGAGGCTGGGTAGAGAATGGACACTCATCCTTGGGTTGGGGGGAGAGGTGGTACCCCAGTGTCAGTCCAGGAAGAAAAGTCAGGAGACAGCCCATATTCAGGGCTCCTTTTCACTGCCCAGACATTCAAGTCCTCACTCCCGCTCTGGCTCTCAAAGAGAGTCATCATGGGACCTCTCCCCAATAACTCAGCCTCCTAACTGCTCCAGCAGCTGGTTTCCCGCCCTAGGTGGCTTGACTTCTAGGATCCTGCAAATCAGCCATTGGCCATCAGACATCAGAAGCCTTCTCTTTTCCCTGGCATTTTAACAATATCGCAGACTGTTGGGTGCCCTTGCTGTGAGACAGTCACACGTCCTAGCACCTTTCAAACACTCCCCAAACCTAAGAGACAGCACTGTTATTATGTCTGCATTTCTCAGGATAGGAAAATAAGCCTAAGAGGGAGTGCTCCCTCACCCAAAGCCACAGGGCAGGTAAGTGGCAGGGCCAGGAGACAAGCACAACAGCTCAGCTTCCTCCCCACCCCAAGAAGCTCTGAGCGCCCTCCGCCCCTCACTGCAGAGTCTGGGAGTTAGGAACCTGCCCCTCTACCAGCCTAAGACCATCTGCTACCCACGGCCCAGCGCCATGCCCAGAACAAGTGGGGGCCCCAGGACTGTGATCCTGCGGCTTCCCCAAGGGCCCCACCCAGCTGCCCCAGGCCCGGCTGGACAGGTGGCCTTTCAGGGGTGGGGCCGGCGCCCCTCAAGCCCTTCTCGCGTCTCTCAAGCTTTCGGTAAGCAGCGGGGGAGGGGGGAGGCGCCCAGAGCGGCCAGTCTCGCCTGTCCGGGAAACTTCCCCAGAGGATGGGGGAAGCGGCACGAATGGCGACTCCGCGCGCACACGCGTTCGCAACCTCCCACACCCAAGGCTTAACCGTCGGGAAGGTCTCGCGACCCTCTAGTCCCGCTCGAATCTCGCGCGCCCCCGCAATCTCACCCCCCTCGGGTCTCCGGGGTCCCTTCTACTCTCACGACCTCTCGAATCTCGCGCGTCCCCTCAAATCTCGCGACCCCTTAAGCCCCTCACGCCCCTTGGGTCTAGCGAGCTCCCCAGTAGCTTGCGACCCTCCAGCCCCTCCGGTCTCGCGCGCCCCTTAAATCTCGCTCCTGCCCCGCACCCACGTGCCCCACGCGGTGCCCGCCGGCGTTAGGGCCACGGAAGCGGCGCGGCCACCGAGCCCCGCCCCCGTCTCCCACGGTCCCGGACCACCGACTCACTTCTCTCGTGCCTGGCTGTCGGAGGGCACGGCCGAGCCCTTGCCCCCCTTGGCGTACATGCTGCTCCGTGCCGCCGCCGCCGCCGCCGGGGCCCCACACCTGTCAGGCGGCGCCGCGGGCCGCGCTCCCGGTCGCCATAGCTACCCCGCGCCCCGGGCCTCACCGCCCCGAGCCCCGCGCGGGCATCGCGGGCATCGTCCGCGCGGGGGAGCTCCAGACGGCTGAGACGGCGGCGGCGGCAGCTCCAGCTTTGGCTCCGGCCGCGGGTTTTATTTTCTTCCTCTCTTCCCTCAGCGCGGGCTGTTCCGGGAAGCGCGCGCCCCCTCCTCCCGCCGCGCGCGCCCCCGCCCGCCGCCTCCCCGTCGCCCGCGGGCGCCGCTCTTAAAGGGGCGATGGCGTGAGCGCGGGTGGGTCCCGCCGCCGGGACCGTGGGCCGGGCGCGCACGCGCAGTGCCCGCCGCGGGGGGAGGGGGCGCGGGGATACACATACTCGGTGCGACTGGGGACAGCCACCCGGGGACACACAGCGGGACACAGCTGATCACGGCTACACACACACTTTCCAGATACACCCAAATTGTACACCCAAGAACACAGCCACACACTTAGTTGCGGCTACATTCTCCGACACAGGACTGCACACGTAAGTCTCTATAGCTACTGGAACAACTACTGATAGCCCCGTAAAGCTACAGGCAGTTATACTGGGTGTATCGCCCCGCAGAGCTACCCACGCCCAGCACGGGTGGGAACCGCCACACACACAGTCTGCCCAGGGATACACTGTCACACACGTAGGTATACACAGCTCAAATAGTGGCTGTTACAGAACGTTGAAACACACTCGACGTTCACACACGCACACAGCCGCACAGAGACAAGCATCGGCACCGCTATGCCATAGCTTCCAACAGCTGTGGAAAGAGCCCACGCAGCTACTTGCTGTCACCCTGGGGCACACCGTCGCAGCCTCCCGAGGGCTCCACACAGGGACCTGGGGTCTCACCGAACCACAGATGGCTCAGTCACACGCAACACACAGTCACACAACACAGATACATGCAGCACAAAGACACCACACAGACAAGAAGCTCCTGGGGTACCCAGGCCACACCCTGGGAGCTACCCTGCACTGCCCCACAGTCACACTTCCGTGTCAATTGTAGGTGCTGGGTGACTTGACTGACTGGGTCATTCCCGCTGGCTCCGCCTCTCAGCCTGTGCTGCCAGCTGTAAATATTCCAACTTTAATAGCACCTTTGCAGGAGTCAGGGGTGCAGGCAGTGGGCACCCCATTCTCCCTCCTAGGGCCCTTCTTCTCCCCCCAGGAGGTGTGCAGAGGTGGAGGCCGACACCGAGGCAAGGACACCCGCAGGGCAGGGGTGTCGGGTGGGCGCGGAGGCCTGTGTGCCAAGGTACCTGTGGGCAGTGTGCGCCGGACGTGCGTGGGCTAGGTGGCGGGAGGCGGTCCAGTTGTGACTCTAGGTCTAGATGCTTCTGTGAACGTTTGCCATAGGTTTTTTTGTTTTTCTTTCTTTTTACGACCACAAGTGTGTGTGTAAACACGCGGTTCCTGTGTGAGTGCACGTGTGCGTCGTTGTGCGTGGGGGGTTGGCAGGCACCCAGTCGCTGTCTGGGCAACTGTCCCTGGCTCTGCGACAGTGGTTATGTGTCCGCGGCGGCCGTGCGGGGCCGAGTGACGCTGCGTCAGGTTTTGTGCACTAGTGTGTGTGCCTCCCCGAATGGGTGGATTGCTGGCTCCCTGGGACGTGTGTGGTGTGGCTGTGCGCTCACATTTCCTGTGTCGTGTGTTATGTGATGATCGGAGCGCCCCTCCCGCTGCCGGCCGACCCCCCATTATGCCTCCAACGGCCTCCTCCCCACCCAGGTCTTCTGCCGGGCGGGAAGTCTTGAACCGCTGCGGTTCCAGACAGGCGAAGAGGAAGGGAAGGGCCAGGCTGGCCCCAGCCCCGCCTCCATCCCGAGGGGCCACGGCCGGGGGGGAGGGGGGGACACGCCAACCCTTCCCACTTCCTGTCCAGCAGGTCGTCCCCTCCCCCAACTTCCTCTCCCGCGGACCTCCCGGGCCCCGGGCCTGCGCGGAGGAGGGGCCCGCGCTGCGCACTAATGGGGGCGCGGCAGGCCAGCTTCAGTCGGACGTCGAGATGGGGACTGCCCAAAGACCCGGGGGCCACCGGTGAACGTGGGCGTCAAGGACACCCTCATCGTAATACCCGTTCCCATCACCGCTCTCCAACAACTACTCCCGGCCAGGCACAGAGAGGGTGTGACTCACCCAAGCCACACAGTGTATTGGTGACAGCTGTGATTCCCACGGACGCTCCCACCACCACCCCAGGCGCCCCCATTTATCTCCTAATGCTCTGTTGCTCCCCAGAATTCTGTGTGCCCTGGGCGGGTCCATGGCCCTCTCTGAGCTCCGGTTCCTTGAGTCGATGTGAGTCTTCATTCTCCCGACAAATATTTATTGAGTGCCTTCTGTGTGCCGGGCTCTGTGGACCCAGTCGGGACACGTTGCTACTGCTTGTGGAGCAGAGGGTCTGATGGGAAAGGCGGACAGTCAAAAGCTGGCGAACAGTAGGATAATTTCAGGGAGTTCCACGTGATGGGCAGAGGGAGGGACCCCGGTGAAGAGGACGGGGCGACCGCAGGGGCGGAAGGCGGAGGGAGGGAGGCTGGGAGGCGGAGGCGCCCGTGGCGGGGCTAGCTGCGGAGGGGGAAGCGCGGCCGGCGGGAGAGACTAGCGCGGTTCTCATGGCAACAGGGACGGATCTCCAAAACACTGCCTCGGCGCCGGCGGAAAAGTCGGAGAAGAGCAAGCTCTAGCCCCCATGCGGCGTCCGGGGGGCTGAGCCGCGTGCACAACCAACCAGAACGCACGCCTTGCAAAAACATATATATATATATTTAATAAGGGGAGGGGGTGGATCCGAAAGATCTGGAAGAAGAATGTTCAGATTGTAGTAACGGCAAGTGCAAAGGTCCTGAGGTGGGCACACGGTTAAAGTGTTGGAAGCAGAGCGAGGAGGGCGGGGGGAAAGGAAGAAACGGGTCGGGCCATTCCTGGTGGGGACGGGTTGGGCTTTGTTTTAAAAGGAATAGGGAGCCACAGGAAGGTGTGTAGCCGCGAGGGGCGGGATCTACGTCAGGATTTTAAGAAGCTCCTTGGGGCTGCCAGGTAGATCGGGATGGCGTGGAGGAGGCAGGGAGGTTGACCCGGTAAGAGGCCCTGGAGGACCTGACAGGCCCGGGAATTGATTTAGGAGCCGGTGTGGGGGCGGGGGACGGTAAGCAAGGAGCGCTAAGGGTTAAGGCTGGGCCCCAGACCTGCGGCTCCTTTGCCGGCTCCCGGTCGCCCCCGTGTGGCTGCCGGGGACTGCAGCCCTGAGCTGGGTCTCTGACTCTTGGGACCACCGACGCCCCCAAACCTCAGCTCCTTAACGTCGGGGTCGGTGCCTGGGAGAGTCCGAAGTCGGCTCTGCTTGAAGGGTAGGGGAATTGCCTGCAGGAGGAGCCAGCCCTCCCCTCACTCCCTTCCAACCCTTCCATTCTTCAGACCCACCTCTCGGCCTTTGCACTGGCCGTTCCTGCCTCCTGGAGCGCTCTTTTCTCTGGCTCTTGGCCTGGCCTGTTCTGGCCTCCTTCGACTTTTGGCCGCATTATTCCTTCTTCTCCCCCACTCGCCCTTCTCTTTCTCCTCCTCTCCCTCTTTTCCCTTCTCCTCCCTCCTCTTCCCCTTCTTCTCCTCCTCCTCCATCTCTCCCTCCCCCAACTCCTTGCCTTCCGTGGCCATCTCCTCCAGATTACTGGTTCTGCACTAGCCTTGGTTGGACTTGTCACTGTTATGATAAAATAATGCCTAAGTCATCTGTTGGCAGCCTCCGCCTCCCTCTGGATCTGCTCTCCCTGCAGACACAGCGGTAGGGGTCCATGAATATGTTGCTTGAGTCGTTGGGAAGGCTAGTTTGGTTTTTCCCCGATGATGGTTTTTCCTCTCCACAGGAGGTGGAAGCAGCCCCGTTAATGGGGAGGGGGGGACGGGGGAAGGGAGGGATTCGGGGAGGGGCCAGGATCCAGGCTGGAGACCCCTGCAGCCCCTCCTCAGCCGTGCGTGGGAGGCGGCCACAGCTGGGAGCAGGGTCTGCGCCGTGAGACGTTTCCTTTCAGAAGCTGTAATTATGGGTAATTTTCTAACTGCAACAGAAAAATTAAAACCCAAACAACACCGGGAGGGAAGAAGCCACAGCAGCTGGTGAGCACCGGCGCAGGCTGGGCTGCGGGTTCCAGCCTAGACCTGGTGGGAGGAGCAAGTAGTGGGGGAGGAGGTTGTGAAGGGACACAGGGCGGAGGGTCATTAAGACAGGCTGGACTCTTTGGACAGCCAGCAAACCCTTGTAGTCTCGGGTTTGCGAAATGGGCGTTATACCCCAAGGCTGATCACCTGGAGGCAGAACTCCCCGCTTGGAAGATCTGGACCTGGGTTTGAACCCTGGCGCTGTCGGTCCGGCTGTGTGGCCTTGAACCTCAGCCCCCAGACTCTCAGGGTCTTGAGGAACTCAGGCGAGAGAAGGGACACAGGAGGACTGAGTGGAGGAGCCTCAGTCGAACCCACAGCTCACTCCCCCGTTCATCCTCCGTGAAGCTCAGCCTGAGCCAGTACACTGCCAGGCTTCCAGCACCTTCCATGGCTCCACAGCTCACAAATCAAGACTCCGCCCCTCCGCCCTGCACTTTCCAGAGTCAAACTAATCAGTAGGAATTGGTACGCCCAGCTCTGATCATCCCTTAAAATCCTCCCAGCAGCCTCCTGAGAGAGGCAGCACTTTTTTCTCCCTATGTTACAGAATGGGGAAACTGAGGCCCAGAGAAGCATGAAGGGAGATACATGGGCGACCCAGAGGCAGCACCCCACTCACCGGAGTGCCCCCAGCTCCCTGTCTGGGTCTGGGATACTCTGGGAGATTGGAGGCATTTTGTGGAAACCTCAAGAGCAGGGAAGGGAGAAATGGGGGAGGGAGAAACCTATCGCAGCTACAGAGAAAGTTCTGCAGATGAATCTGAGGCTCAAAGCCGGGGAGCCACTCGCCCGGGGACGCACATTAGGGAGTGGAGGCACCGGGTCCCACTTTGGGGTGCCCTGGCAACGCCCCTCCCTCACCACCTCTCTCTGGAGCTCCGCCTCTCTTCCTGTGGTGGATTTTCCATGGCAACCTGAAGTCCTAAGATCCCGGGGCGGTGCAGGGGGAGGGGTCCTTTCTTCCCTTTGGGTGGGGGGCTTCCTCTGCTGAATAACAGCACTGGGGAGTGGATGCTCACTAAGGACCAGAAACTGGTCAGTTTTGTCCATGATCCTGTTGTCTGCACCCAGCTCATTCCCACCCCAAAGCCTCTGCACAGGCTGTCCTCCCGGCCTTGGACACCCTTCCCCAGCCCTTCCCCATAGCCCGCCTCTCTTTGTCCTTCAGGCCTCACAGAGGCCCTCCAACCATCTGGATCACATTGCCCTGTTGGGTTTTCCCGCAAATCTTATTTTTGCACGTTGATTGCCAATGTCCCCAGTAACCCATGAGTTCTGTGAGGGCAGGGAATTCTATCATTTTGTTCAGTGCTGTGTCCCTAGCACTTACAAGTCTTGGCACACAGGCGCTTAATAAATACCTGTTGCCGACCGAATGAGTTAAAAATTACCAATGTCCCCTCTGTTCTGGGGCCTGAGGCCTCCAGTACCCTCCTTCAGGGGTCTCAGCCTGAGAGCGACACAGACCGTCTTGAACTCCCCCCATCCTCCCCGTGTTGGTCGGGATGGAGTTTGGGAGTCAGAGAAGTGGGAGGGACCAATTCTCTGCCTCTGCCAAAGCCACCAGAACCTGCAATCCCGAGTCTGGACACACGAGGGCAGCAGAGATTCGCAAGTACAACTCCGGAGGGTCCCAGCGGGCCCCGCCTTAGCGCGCCTTTGGAGTGGCTCTTGAGACCCCGAGTTTCAGGCTTGGAATCTGGTACACCTCTGTTGACCTTGCCCATGCCCCCAAGTA